GATGTTGGGCAGTTGATTTTTCTTACTGGAGATTCAAAAGAAAATATTGACAACTGGGGAATAGGTGAACAAGGAGAAAAATGTATATTCTTCTCAACAGTGTGTTCAGGATTCTGCTCATGTTCTACCCCAGAGGCAGGCAACTTTGGTCTATCTGTTTCCTCTGCATCTGAATCAAGTGAAACAATTTCTGTCCTAGTCTCGACATTTTCAAACCCAGCTCTGTTTCCAAATACATCACCTACATAATGAGAATCATAAAGCTGACATATCAGTTGGTGTGTTCCAAGTGTTGGACAAGCTACTAAATGCTCATGTTCAAGATTGAACACTAGTGAGTCAGGTGAGTCTGGTCTCTGTTCTGTGAAGACCAGTGGCATTGAAAGGCCATTTTCAATATCTGAACACACTGACTCTGGTGAGGAGGACCTGTACCCCGAGCTAGCTGTATTTAATTCTGATACTGCAAGTTTGAAATCTGGTATAGGTGAATCTGGTGATAATGCAGCCATATCATTCACATATGTTGATGAACAAGGTGACAAAAGTCTTGTGAATGTGAAAAATTCTGATTCCTCTTTTGACACAGTGGATTGTGGAGAATATTGTAGACAGTGAGAAATGTTAGCAAGGTCACTAGAAAGTTGGAGAACTTGGGAATATAGACACAAATCTTTCAATGGATCTGGAGACTCTGATCTTTGTACATTCACTGATGTCATTTCTTGAGGTGATAAAGGCCTGTACTCTGACTCTGTACTGTTCAACTTCACATTATCCTCTGGCTCCTTCATTTCTGCCATACCTGAAAAATTCTCAGTTCTTGTCACAACAGACTCTAATCCCATTGTTTTACTGAAGAATGTCTCTCCAACATACTGAGGATCAAGTATTGGAGAAATAAGCTTCCGAAATTTTGTCCCACAAACTGCTCCTACAGATGGTCTATTACTACTCAATAGCCTTTCTGTGGACTCAGACACTGTTGATTCTGGTGAGGCAGATCTCTGATTTAAAATAGTTCTTGCTACATACATTTCTGCAGATTGTTTACCTTCTGAAAATGATAATCGGTGGGCACTAACAGAAACCGATTCTGTGAACCCTGCTGTGAATTCTGGTATAGGCGAATCACCTTGATAATCATCTCCAGAAAGCACAGATTCAGGTGATAATGTTCTCCTCCAGCAGTACACTGGCTGATTCATAAACCCATAGTCTAGATCTGATCTCTCAAGTGTGCACAAATGAGTTTGTAGTAAATCCCATCTAGTATCTGGAATGGGTGAATCTGGGGAAAGTGGCCCATTTTCATCAGGAGAATCTACAGATAGAGGTCTGCTTTCCCCATATAATGATTCCAAAGAGGAAGACCTATGATCTGAGGCAAAGATGTCTGAGGTAAATGAAACGGGTGATAATGATTTCTCCATACCTGTTTGGCTTGTCAAGGTATGAGAGTCAGATAAATCTTTTCTAAAGTCTTGAATGGGTGATTCTGAAGACAGAGGATAGTTTTCATCAGCTGAATCTATAGAAGGTGGTCGGCTCACACAGATTAGCAATTCCAATGAGACAGACCCAGGCTCTGTATCTGAAGCCAATGAAACATGTGATGAGGACCTTTCTAGTGTGGTCCAATTAGTTTCTCGTACAAACTGTCCAAACTCTGGGACAGGTGACTCTGTTAAGAGTGGATAGTCCTCAGCAACTGAATCTACAGATGGAGGTCGGCTCTCACCAAACAAAGACTCTGTTGAAACAGAGCTACACTCAATGTCTGATACAAATGAAGAAGGTGATGAGGGTTTCTCTAGTGTGGATAGGGTGGTGGAGTCTATCACTTCTCGTCTAAACTCTGGAATGGGTGACTCAGATGAATGGGCTCTGTTTCTATCAACTGAGTCTGTAGATGGAGGTCTGATCTCAGTAAATAATGATCCCAAAGACCCAAATTCATTATCTGAAAAAACTGATTCAACTGATGATGACTGAACAGATATAAAACTCATGAAAGTATTTAATGAAAACATCCCAAAACTGGGAATAGGAGAGTCGATTGACAGTGCTTTATATGCATTTACAGATGATATCGAATCAGGAGATGAGGGTCTGTCATCCAAAAGTTGTGACAAATTTAAATCAGTTTCTAGTTCCTGATCAGAAAACTCTAACTCTGTAGGCTGTGGCTTTATATAAAGTTGTGAGGGACCTGACAAAGAGGGTATGGATTGAGTAATAGGAGCTTCTGGTTGAATATCTGCAGGGCTTCCTGATTCAGAGGGTTGGGGTGTGGCTGTGTCCAGAGGCATCAATGATTCTAGTGACATAAACCTATTTTCTGCTTCAGAATCAAATGACAGTGATCTTTTGCACATTTCTACTTGCAAAGTGGATCTTTCCTGACAAAATTCGGACTGTTTTCCACTTAACTGAAACTTTCCTACTTTGCTGGTGAAGGTTTCTCCTACATACTGTGGATCATGGATTGGAGAGATAAACTTCCACACGTCTGTATCATAAACCAAGTTGTAGATGGGTTGTGGATGTTTTGTTAAAGATAAAAGTGTATGATGTGGATTTTTAACAGATAAAGACTCGTCCTGACCTTCAGGTACACCTATAGTTAATGCCAATGATAGTTTTAGGTCCTCAGATTCAGATTCTGGTGATGATGACGTTAAGCATCTAGCTTTGTCACCAAATACTAAACTGTCTTTGGTTTTAGATAGAACATCTTCTTGATGTTTTTTAACTTTCTTGAACTTTTTTCTCTTAATACAACTCAACTTATCACTTACAGAACTGTTCATTCCCTCATTTGACCTTCCTACATTTGATAAATCATGTGATAGCTCTGTTTTGAACACATCATCTGATAAAACACCTGCCGGTGATGAATGTTCATTTGACGTTTCTAATTCAGGACTTCTAATGTCTAGCAGAGCTGACTGTGGTGACGTTCTGTATATGGACATTGAGTCTAGAGAAAAAGTTCTGTTTTCAACATCATCATCTTTCTCGGTTTGGAACTTGATTGATGTTGGTGGTCTGTCCTCTTTATCAAAGGTCAGTGATTGTTGTTTGTGATCACTTGAATCAAAAACTGCCTTTGCAATGTCGTCAGATTCGGTGGAGACAGCTGGATATCTACCAACAGATACAAATGATTCTGACTCATTTCCAGATTTAAAACAGGAAGGCAAGAAGGCACTGTTTTTATGATTAAATGATGGAGTCAGAGAGCTATAACCTTCAGCAGAGTATACAGACTTAGATGGTCTGAATCTCTCTCCTGTCATTAGAACAGGTGAGTCAGGCCAGTTGGGACTGAATTTGGGAACAGATGAATTAGGCGATGGTGCATGACATCCATCCATATATGCTGCAGATTCTGGAGATGCAGGCCTGTTCCCAGAAAACAGAACAAATTCCCGCATTTCAAACTCTACACGTGATGAGTCTGACTCAGGTGAGGATGATCTGTATTCACATGTATAAGGCTCAGAAGCAAACCAGTTAAAATCTTGGACAGGAGAGTCTGGTGGAAGCTGGCAGCATGAAGTGATGGACTTTGTTGATTCAGGAGATGATGATCTGATCTCATGAAAATCAGGAGTAACATACTGATCTGGTGTAAGAAGCAAATTCACCGTCTCTAAAACACATGACTCAGGTGATGATGCTCTGTCTTCAATGACAAAACCTAAGGACCAAGGTGAAACGGATCCTTCATCACAATAGTCACTGCCTGGTGATACCGGCCTTCCAAATGGTCTTATATTTGAAATCATTGGTGTTAATGGCTTTTCTTTTGATTCGGATGCAAACGGACAAGTAGTACCCCCTAGGGATCTCAGTAAGTGCTGCATCTGATTTGCTGCCCCATCATTTCCAGATTCCCATGGAAGAACAGGTGGTGGGAGTGGGGACAAAGGCCTAAACTGTGTTATTGGAGAATCAGGTGCAAGTGAAATCAGCTCATTCACTGATGACACAGACTCAGGTGAGGAGGCTCTGCTCTCTGTCAGGAATATTGCACTATCCGAACAGCATTCAGGTAAAGCAAAACTCTCATGTGATGAAATTACAAAATCAGAAATAATTCTTGACAGCGGTTCATGTTCAGATGCTTTAAGTTTGGTAGAGAAGGTATCTGAGGCAATAATTTTCTCTCTTTGGACCATTATATCTGGAATTTTACAGCTATCATTAGAAGAATCAGCCAAATATTTGTTGGCTTCATTTGTGTCATGAAGGGATTCAAGATTAGATGAACCTAAGGTCTGTTGAGCATCACGGTCATCCACAAAGCTCAGCACATCATCAGCTTTTATGAGACTAGCAGATTCCAGAACCTCATCCCTCCTGCCTACTTGATTGGTGTCATCAGATGGTGAATACACGAGCAGTGTGGACACATCGTCACAATATGAATCCACTGCCTCAGCTTCATGTCCAGACAGGACTTTATAAAGCTGATGAGACCCTTCATCTACGTATCTCATGGAAGCTTGTTTGGACATTTGTGGTGCCCCACAAGAAGTAGGCTGTGGCTTTTCTTCACTTATAGTTTGCTGAGAAAATATTTCTTCTCCAGAAACCTCATCAGTTTCTGTAAGCTCTATAGACAATGTTCTAAAGTCTTCTTCAGCTTCATCACCTTCTACCAAGCTGTCTCCAAAATCAGTCATGGACAGGGGCTGATCTTCAGATACACCTGTTCTGGAGCCATTAAATGTCTCACGCCAAGGCAAAGGAGATAAATGATCTGAGATGTCTTCAGAATGGGAAGTTTGGAGACACTCCAAACTCCAGTCCTCGCCCCCCACTGCCCCCTCATATTCAACAGCCCCTTCATTATAACATGTTTCCAAAGTGGGGTTTGGAGGAGGAGTAATCTGGGCACACAGCCTGGGTCCCCCCTTATACACAGGATCCATCACGTGAGATCGGAGGTTGTAGGGAGAAGTGCGATACAACGTGAAGAACGGACTTACTTGTTTAAAATTGCCTGTATGTATTGAGTCTGTCACTTCCTCATATATTGTTTGTGATGCCCTGCAAAACAAACAAAAAATGTGATTTTTAGTCAAACAATGACAGTAATGAGAACAATATCTGAAAACCACTGTTCTAATATTAAACAAACTGCAAATATAAGCAACATAAAATTCAGAGGTACTGATAGCCCAGTGAAGTGTAAAAATATTTATAATGTAATATAATTATTTAATATATAATAATATTTAAACTTTGGTATGGTTTGACCCAGGCCAAAGTATGCCTAGGGCATTATCTGGCTTAGGTCCCTCTAACGGTTAAATTGTAACCTGTTACAGCAGCCAGTGAAGTCACAGGTTGTGAGGCACAATAAAGGAAGAATGCTAAGGGAGGTGAATACTTCTGCCACTAGCTGTGCATTATCAAAACCACCCAAAATCTTAAGGTGAATTTCTTTGTATTTATTCTTTAAAAAATGAACTTCCTTTTGGGCAGCTGTGGCTGAGTGGTTAGAGCAGTCGTCCTCCAATGGGAGGGTTGGGGGTTCAATTCCACCAGCAGTCACATGCTGAAGTATTCTTGCGTAAGACAATGAACAACTCATTGTCTCTGATGTGTGTCCCATCAGTGTATGAATGTGATCTAAGGCACTGATTAGTCTCTACAGATTCAGATTATCTTTAAGGAGATGTAGTAGAGTGCTGTATGAATGTGTGTGTGTGGAGGTAAATGAAGGTACAGATTGTGTTGTAAAGAGCTTGGAGTATCTTGATAAGACAGAAAGGTGTTACATAATATATATATATACAAACCGGATTCCAAAAAAGTTGGGACACTAAACAAATTGTGAATAAAAACTGAATGTGATGATGTGGAGGTGCCAACATCTAATACTTTATTCAGAATAGAACACAAATCACAGATCAAAAGTTTAAACTGAGAGAATGTATCATTTTAAGGGAAAAAAATCTGTTGTTTCCAAATTTCATGGCGTCAACAAATCCCCAAAAAGTTGGGACAAGTCCATTTTTACCACTGTGTGGCATCCCCCCTTCTTCTTACAACACTCAACAGACATCTGGGGACAGAGGAGACCAGTTTCTCAAGTTTAGAAATAGGAATGCTCTCCCATTCATGTCTAATACAGGCCTCTAACTGTTCAATCGTCTTGGGCCTACTTTGTTGCACATTCCTCTTTATGATGCGCCAAATGTTCTCTATAGGTGAAAGATCTGGACTGCAGGCTGACCATTTCAGTACCCAGATCCTTCAACTACGTAGCCATGATGTTGTGATTGATGCAGAATGTGGTCTGGCATTATCATGTTGAAAAATGCAGGGTCTTCCCTGAAAGAGATGACGTCTAGATGGGAGCATATGTTGTTCTAGAAACTGAACATAGTTCTCTACATTAATGGTGCCTTTCCAGACATGCAAGCTGCCCCTGCCACAAGCGCTCATGCAAACCCATACCATCAGTGATGCAGGCTTCTGAACGGAGCGTTGATGTAGTGAACTTCGGATTTCCCCTGATAATATGGGTCCTCTTGGATCCCATATCCTTGCGTCCTACACATGTCCCATATACGATAATCACGTTCATCCTCTGAAAGAGGAGCCTTTTTGTCCCAGCGTGCACCTTCATTACGTGGTTTGTTAGTTTGAAAATACTGCCTTATTAATGTAAATGTGTGATGTGTTAAACTTGATTCTGTTAATAAATGACCCACTCGCTTGGTGAGTCAAAGATAATTAACGTCTCACGTCCACATTTCTGTTGAATTCAACGCACGAACATCACACAGTCCAGAAAGATGAGTGAACCCGTTTAATGTATGAATATATCTCAGGATATGTCATACTACATTGATAACAATTTGGGCTATCCTTGTCCTCTCTGGTCCGGATGACATGGCGTCCCAGTGTTCCATAAAGAACTTCAAATCGTGACTCATCTGACCACAGAACAGTCTTCCATTTTGCCACACTCCATTTTAAATGACCCCTGGCCCAGTGCAAATGTCTGAGCTTGTGGAGCTTGCTTAGAAATGGCTTCCTCTTTGCACTGTAGAGTTTCAGCTGGCAACGGCGGATGGCACGGTGGATTGTGTTCACTGACAATGCTTTCTGGAAGTATTCCTGAGCCCATTCTGTTATTTCCTTGACAGTGGCATTCCTGTTTGAGGTACAGTGACGTTTAAGGGCCCGGAGATCACGAGCATCCAGTAGAGCTTTACGGCATTGACCCTTACGCACAGCGATTGTTCCAGATTCTCTGAATCTTTTGATAATGTTATGCACGGTTGATGATGATAACTTAAACGTCTTTGTTATTTTACGCTGGGTAACATCATTCTGGTATTGCTGCACTATCTTTCTGCACAACAATGGTGGAATTGGTGATCCTCTTATCATCTTGGCTTCTGAGAGACACTGACACTCTGAGAAGCTCGTTTTATACCAAAGCATGTTGTCAATTGACCTAATTAGTGTTAATTGGTCTTCCAGCTGTTCGTTATATGCTCAATTTCCTTTTTCCAGCCACTTATTGCTACTTGTCCCAACTTTTTTGGGATTTGTTGACACTGTGAAATTTTGAATCAACATATTTTTCCTTTAAAATGTTACATTTACTCAGATTAAACTTTTGATCTGTCATCTATGTTATATTA